TTTTTTAAAAAATAGTATCTTTATCAGACGTCGATCGGAAATGACAAGATAACCAAAATCTTATTTTTTAGAAAAAATATTTTAGTTACTTATTTAAGGTTAAATTCCTTTCTACAAAGATTGATTTTTTATTTTCTGTGCCTGTTTTGGCAAGAAATTTCTTTTATTACTAAAGAATTAAATAAACAAAAAACACAATTAATCTTTTATCACACAGATAAAACTAAACGAATGATCAAAAAACATTGAACATTAAAAATATTTCACTGGCTTTTATAGTCAGTAAAAAATGATGCAATAAAAAACTTTCCACACAAAAATTCAAAAAATAGAAAGTGAATCGCAAAATGCCAAAAATTATTAAAAATTCTTATTTACTTTTCGTCAGTGACTCTCCGCTGCACGATTTATCTCACTTGCGCATATTGTCTGCTGTCTGTTTGAGGAAGATTGCCAGTGACATAATAAGTTGCATGATGGGTGGGATATGCCTGAAACGACGAGCAAGTTCCGTAAGTTCAACTAGCTAGACGAAAAGATCCTTGATTTATTGAAGGCATGGAAGTTGTCAAAGAGCGTGTAAGGCTTCGAAAATATTTTAAAGCTGTTTACCCCTGTTTTACGTTGATTTTTAGGGTATCAGGATAAGGGCCTAGTTTTTTATTATTTTTTAAAACATCAATATATTATATATTTGATGGAATTCTAATTTATTTCTAGATTAAAAATACTAGAAAATTAAGGTTGTCTTATAATTTACGGATAGTTAAAAATTTACTAATTTTAAATCTGGCTAAATTTTCACAGGAAGTAAATAAAATGTTAAAGTGAAAATTTGCATAAAAATGTAAAAATATTTACTAATTAATAAATTAAAGACATCAAATGAAAAGAAACAGTTTAACTCGAGATATAACAAAAAGGGTAGTTGGTCATGTAATCTACGGACGCACTGGGCTCATAAATAAATAAGAAAATGAATTTACTTTAAATAAGATTTGTAAACTTAGTATCAGAGTTGTTTCGAAACAAAAATTATTAGAAAATCGGAAATTTGTTATGTTAGGTCTCACAATCAGTTGGAACTTTCTATAACTCTAAGAAATTGGGAAAAACTAATACTTAGAATTTTCCCTTTTCTGCGCCGCATGCGAAATTTTTGAGAGTTTTGGAAGATCCTTAAGCCAAATATCTTCCTTTTTCTTTTTTAACATTATGATTAGGGTTGCCGTTTTCGAACCAGGCCAACGTTCGAGTCATTTTTTCGGGACTCATCTTTATCAGTCCGGGCCGTTCGAGTCTTTCTGGCATCATTTTTTCGGGCCGGACCGGTCAGTCTTTTTCGGGCTTCATTTTTATCGAACCGGGCCGTTCGAGGGCCGGCAACCCGAATCATGGTCGAAATTTCGAAACAACTCTGTTTGGTATATACCGTAAATCCTATAAAATAGCCCCCCCCTAGAATAAGCACCCCCCCCCCCACTCCAAAATAAGTCCCGCCCCACTTCAAAATAAGCCCCCCCCCCCATAAAATTAGCCCCCTCTAAAATAAGTCCTCTTAAAATTAAACCCTTCCCCCACTCCAAGATAAGCCCCTTAGAGGTGGATCGAAAAAAATAAGCCCTCCTCCCACTCTAAAATAAGCCCCCTTAAATTAATATAAGTGGAAAAGATATGAAAAAAAATATTTAGTAATGGAGTATAATAATTTTAGATTTTCCTTTATCCCTAACAAAATAATGCATCTCGAATTTGCTGAAAATGCTTTCAATCTTCATTGTTATACATTTTATTCTTCCCTTTATGTGTATGTCGAATATTGCTAACATGAGATTGTCCGGTTTTATGTTGCTCACCCATTGTTTTTTCATTCCAATCTTCCCAATAATTGTCCTCTTCATCTTGCTGATTCAAAATATTTTGGTATTCTTCTTTTGGATAACTCAAATGATTAGAAAATCCCTCATCATTTATTTTTCCGGTATTTATATAAAGTTTTTTAACCTTATCTAAATTAACTTTGCATTCCTTCAGTCCAACATCTATTCTCTTTACTAGCATAACTAAATCCCAAAGGTGTTCATTTTCAGAATTGTATTCAGGGCTTAAAAATTTTAAAATTGTTTTACGACAGATAATTGTTCTCTATATTTAAACTCGCTGACATCTTCAATACTTTTAACTTGCCGGTCCTCGTATCGGGGTTTTTTTTATTCCAAGTTGACCCAGGCCGGCGTTTCCGAGCCAAAAACCTCGAAAACTCGGAAAAGCCTGATTTTATCAAAATAACAGGTTTCCGGGCTATTAGGCCAGGTAACCTGTGCTCGACCCGGAGCCGAGCTCTACTAATACGCAAATATCCTTAACAACTTCTCCTATAAATTACTAAAGAGACAATATGCCGTTGTGGTTTAAATAGTATAAATAATTATTACCGATTAACATATTTATCCTCAAAAACTTCATCAGAGCAATTAGTATGTAATTGAAGAACACTTCTAATAAAATTCGTGTTAATTTTAAATCTTGTCGTTGATACTCTGCCATATTTGTATAAAATTATTAATCCTCGTATATATGCATACTAAATTTTATTTAAGTTTTGAAAATTATTTAAAAATTAGCAGTAGAAACTAAGCAGGGCTCGGATTCCTTAGTATTTTCAGTGCTCACAAACCAGTACACAAACCGGTCTTCGTACTTACGAAATTAACAATGTATTTATTTGTAAGACATATGTACTTACAAATAGACTTGAATTTTCAAAATGTTCGACTGTGGCGCTCAAAAGGTAAGAAAAAATTTTAATTTCAAGTGGATGTTCCGGCTTGTAGTTAATATTTTTACTTTATTTTCCTCAAGCTCAAAGTGAACTCGTTTTTAATAGTTCTTCATTTTTGAAGGGGTTTGAAGCCATACTCATCCTATTTCTTAATTTTCAGGACCACAAGCAATAATTTTAAGTTATGGAAGGCCAAGAAGCCAGATTTCTTCCTTTCTCAGCCTATACTTGCCATATTTTCTTGCTCGTACTCATAGGTCTCAGGAATTCGCACTTGTACACAGGAACGAGTACAAGAGCGAATTTTTGTACGGGCTCAAAACACTACTCGTAAAGAATCATGTTCCGAGGTTTAGTAGTACTTTGTTAATATTTTAACTTTATTTTCCTCAAGCTCAAAGTGGACTCGTTTTTAATAGTTTTGATTTTTGAAGGATTTTGCTTAATAAAATTACGGTAGTATAAAGGACTAGGATGTATTTTAAAAATAATTATTCCTCAGAATAATTCATTAAAATAATTATATTTATTTTCAATATTATTGCATCAAAACCTTTAGCTCATCTCCACCAAGACGATCAAGTATGTTGCTTCGATCCTTCGCATCATCGACTAGTTTTTTTGCTATTTTAAAAGTTGGATCCTCTTTTTCATAATATTCAATTAATTTTTCTTGTACATTTACACTTGGAAGAATTTTTTTATTTTTTGTTTCCTTGGAGCGTCTAATTTTCTTTTTTTCGCTTTGCAAGCTTCCAGTCATGTTTAAATCATCATTCCCGGCAGAATGACCTGTTGAGGGTTCCGAGTATGCTTCATTTTTATTCATTGACATAATAAAATTCAACAATGTTACATTGATGAAAATTATTATGAGAATAATATTTAAATTAATTTTCATCCTAATAATTTTTTTAAAATTTAAATAATTATACAATTGAATGTTGAAAATTTTATAAATTAAATTAGCAATGTCGAGAAAAAAATTTAATAAAATAAAATAATAAGAAGAGAATTTTAGAATGATTGAATAGGGCTATATGTAATGCAAAGAGTCCTAGCTCTCCATCCCTGACCCTCATACACTTAGAATTTTGTAAATGGTTTTAAGCCAAATTGGTTTTCAAATTTCTTCTTACTGCCTATCACATCTCTCTTTAATGCGAGTTTATAGGAAAGACTTATGGAGAGATGGAGAGACTCTCTCAATATATTTATCTCTATCCATTTTTTGTAAATCTAATATTTCCCCATACTTCTTTAAGTCATAAGCTGCACTATTAACATCTTAAAAAATGCCGAGTTTCATTATCGACTTTTCCTTTACATCTTTTTAGAGGGATGTTTATAAGAATGTTTAGAGTGATTTTTTTATCAGAGAATGTTTGTTTTAAATTTTCGTTATTATTTATATTTCGATAACTTTTTAAGAAAAAATCTTGTCTGAAATTTCAAAACAAATTCTGATGACATATATGTATTGTGCTGCTTGTGAGTCTCTGGTCTCGAGTCGAAAAATTTCTCGGATTTTTGAGCGTCTCCCACAGCATTATCATAATAAGAGGGTGGATTTTTATTGAAATAAATATTTTTTGCAAATACATTTTGTCGCAGAAAGCCCAAACATGCCATTAGTTACTCGATATTATAATTATGAACAAAGTTGCATTTCAATATTTTGCCAATTTTCCAGTTACCTATTTAAATATTTTTGCATATTTTTATCAAAATTCTGTGTAATTTATTAATTGTAGAAAAAAATTGAAGAAATCTAGCAGTTGAACCTCCAAAATCGTTAAAGTTTTCGCCTACGGCGCTGAAAATGGTGAATTCTTGCTTATAATGGGGGAATTATGGCGGGAGATGGGAGAATTTTATTAAGAGGGGGGGGGGTGTCCAACAGAGCAAAAATACTCGATTCGTCGTTCAATAAACATAATATGCAATTTTAGTTAGTGAATAATTTTTTTCTTAAATTGCAACTTTTTTTTCATTTTTGTTAGTGAATAAACCATAATTTATTTCAATATTTCACTAATTTTTAGCAGTTTTTGTCAATATTTCGCCAATTTATTTCAATTTTCTATGGGTGCATAAATTAATTGAAAATGTAAAAGATATGAGCCAAAACATTTAGCAAGGGAGTATAAAAATATAATTTTTAGATTTTCAATTATCACTAATATAATAATGTATCTCGAACTTTCTCAAGATGTTCTTAATTTTCATTGTTATCCATTTTATTCTTCCCTTTATCCGAATGTTGAATATCGCTAACATGAGATGGCCCGGTTTCATTTTGCTCATCCATTGTTTTTTTATTCCAATCCTCCCAATAAGTATCCTCCTCATTTAATGGAATTTCTTTCGTTTTTTCATACTTCTTTAAAGTTTTCGTCAGATTATTCTGCTCCTCCTCGTTTTGCTCCTCCATTGTTCTTTTATTCCAGTCTTCCCAATAATTGTCCTTCCCATCTTGCTGATACAAAATATTTTGGTATTCTTCTTTTGGATAACTCGAATGATTTATACTTTTAGAAAATTCCTCATCATTTATTTTTCCGTTATTTATATAAAGTTTTTTAACCTTATCTAAATTTACTTTACATTCCTTCAGTCCAACATCTATTCTCATTGATAACATAACTAAATCCCAAAGATGTTCATTTTCAGGATTGTATTCAGAGCTTAAAATTTTTTAAATTGTTTTACGGCATATAAGTGTTCTCTATATTTAAACTAGGGTTGTGCGAGGTCGAGGCTTCGACCATTTTTCAATCTCGGTCTCGGAGCAATCGGGCTCGGGTCTCGGAACCCTGGTATTGTTTAATTGAAGAGTATAAGTCATATTACCGATTATTATATTTGTCCTTAAAAACTTCATCAGAGCAATTAGGATGTAATTGAAGAACATTTCTAATAAAGTTGGTGTTAATATTAAATCTTGACGTTGATACTCTACCATATTTGTATAAAATTATTAACCCTCGTATATATGCCATCTAAATTTTATAAAAGTGAAATTATTTAGAAAACAGCTGTAGAAACTAAGAGGGGCTCAGATTCTTTAAGCATCATAGAGATTCTAAGCCTAATAAAATTAAGGGTAGTTTAGAGGACTAGGATGTCCATTTTTATAAATAGGTATTCATCAAAATAATTCATTAAAATAATTATATTTATTTTCATTATTATTGGATCAAAAAACCTTTAGCTCATCTCCACCTAGACGATCAAGTATATTGCTTCGATCCTTCGCGTCATCGACCAGTTTTTTTGCTATTTTAAAATCTGGATTTATTTTTTCATAATATTCAATCAATTTTTCCTGTACATTTACAATTGGATAAAAATTTTTATTTTTTATTTCCAAATTGCTTCTAATTTTCTTTTTTCCTTTTTTCAAATTTCTTTTCCCGATATTAACTTCTTTCTCGGGAGAATAACTTGATGAGGATCCTGAATGTGTTCCTTTCTCATTTAAACTGTTTATAGGTTCCTTTCGTTTCATTGATATAATAAAATTCATTAATGTTAAATTAATGAAAATTATTATGAGAATAATAATTAAATTAATTCTCATTCTAAAAATTTTTTAATTTAAATAATTTTTTTATTTAATAAATAGTAAAGCAGCTGGGCTATAGCTATTTTCTCCTTTAGCTAGTGCAAAAGTTTAATCGGCGGCTGGGAGCGAACCAGCATCTTCAGTAGACCGGACTGATGTGTTAGCCATTACACCACGCCGCCTACTGCTCAGCCTTAGGAAATTAATAGCTATATGCTTTACAAAATTTTATAAAAAAATTAACAATTTCGTGAAAAAAATTTAATAAAATAAAATGTTAAGAAGAGAATTTTAAAATGATTGAACTGGGGAAGGGGGTATAATGAAAAAGTCCTGGCTCGCCAGATCCCCGTACCTAACCATCATTACGAAGAATTTCTTAAATTATATGTATATAGAGAGACTCTCAATATACCTGAATTTTTTGAATTTTTTTGGACAGTGCTTTTTTGAAACTAGGGAGGAGATGAAATTTTGCGAACGCTGAATCTCATGGAAAAAGCTTAGTAATGGAACCGGACTTATAAGCTCTGAAAGAGAATTGTTTGGGCTTTTTTTCATAGAATTGTTTGGGCTACAAAACAATTCTCTTTCAGAGCTTATTTGTTTGGGCTACTCTATAGTAGAGTTCTAAAGGCCATTCTAATTTTATAATCATTGAATTATTAGACATACTCATTAATAGGTGTATGTAAATAAATTTCCCAATATTTTTTAAAATCATAAGCTGCACTTTTAACATCATAAAAAATGCCGAGTTATCGACTTTTCCTTTACATTTTGCCTTTTTGTTAGGGGAATGTTTATTAGAATGTTTAGAGGGATTTTCATCAGAAAATGTTTAAATTTTTGTTACTATATTTCAGGCAACTTTTTAAATAAGTCTGAACTTTTCGAACAAAACTTTCCGAACATCTAGTGCTGCTTGTGAGTCTCGGTCTCGAGTCGAAAAATTTCTCAGCTCGGTAATAATATTTCACCATATACTATTAACATCCTAAGAAATACCGAGTTTTATTATCAACGTTTGTTTTTCATTTGTTGTTAAATTTAAGATAGTCAATGTTATACGGAATGTTTATTAGAGATGTTCTAGGTCCGTTAATATATTTCAGTCAACTTGTAAGAAAATGATTTGAAAAAATAATAATGGAGCTAAAAATTTTAAGTTTTGATAGAAACCCGGTTGTGTTTTCGTCTGGGTCTGGGCTCTATACTGTCTCCCATCAAATGAATTCTTCCACAACATTATCATAATAAATTGTAAAAATTGTTTATTTAAAAATTGAAAATTAATAATTTAAATATAATTTAATATAATAAACGAATTTAAGTGAAGCATTAAAAAAATATTAAAAAAATTATTTAATTAAAATTAATATTTATAATGAAATGACAGAGTATTCAACACTCTTGTTAATTAATGAGCGGCAACACAAATAAATCACGTGTTGCACTTTATCAAAACGCAACTCTAATTGATTAAAAATAAATTTTTAAAAAACTTCAAAATGCCGACTTTTTTAAAAATTATTATTAGAGTAACAATTGAAAAAAGACATTAATGGCAGCCAAACAAATGTTCAATTCTATTGATATTAAAAATTATGCAAAAAAATATAAAGCATATCGAACGTTGTGCGGCCATAACGGGGCAGTCAAATCGGGTTTGGGGTGATAAAAATAATTTCTTGCGTGTTTAAATTTGTTCTAAAATATAAAAATTCTATTCCCAATAGGGCAATATACTATCTAACACCCAGTGGCCGTAGGTACCGAAATCAGTAGAGTAACTGTTCGTACATTGAAATATCTGCATTCTTGCTAAAATTTATGACTAGGGAATGGATTTATATGGATTTCCATATTTTTTCCTGGCCTAGTTGGGTTCTGAAAAGTCCAAAAAATATAGTACTTAATTAAATTTTGATGCTTAAAAATGAATATTTTCCGTTAAAAATTTTCAGTTTTCGGTCCATATTTGATCCATATTTTAGATTTTAGTTTATATTTCAGTCCATATTTTAAAATGTTTAGTTATATGTCCATATTTTTCGATTAATAGTCCATATAAATCCGTTCCCTATTTATGACATTACAGACTGATTCTTCATCCCTGATTTCCTCGTTCAAATTAAATTTTCAAATTTTTTTAGATAATTTTTAAAAATTAATAACAAAAAATAAAATGTTGATATACTATTCAATACTTTTTATTATAAATAAACATTTTCATTTTTTTGGCGGTATGTTAAAGTAAATAACTAACAATACATTAAGTACTATTAAAACAGCAAACATTTAGGTACTTAATGTTATCGCAGCAAAATATCTAAATAAATGGGGGTTGCGTTTTAGTATTTCCAACTCCTTTGCTTTCATTAATTTTCCTTACTTTTGGACTTTTTTCCAATCAATATAACAAAAAAATATTTATTCAAAAAATTATTATTACAAAATATTATAATTTTTGGTTTTTTAAATATTTACAATAACTATCAAATTATAAATTTAAATTAAAAATATTTATAAAATATACTCATAAAAATTAAAATAAATTTATTAAAAATTATATCTTCATTAAAATATATTAGATTTAAAAAAATTAATCATTAAATTTAATTTTAAAAAATTAATGTTTAATAAAAATCAAGAAATTATAATAATAAATTTAGTGAAGGCTGTCGCGGAATAAAAATTAATAATAAAATAAATAAAATAAATTAATATAACCCTTTAAAATTTTCATTCCGCGATCATATGCCTAAAGCTATTTGGTCTTTTAACCATGATATGTTATAAATTGGTTTGCTACAATCCACTTTGAATATTTAAAGATAAATTAAAATATAAAGCTAGCAAGTATCTCAGAAAAGAGCATTTGCAGCAGGACAGTGAAACGAATATAAATTAATTAAAATATTATAAATAACTTGTATATATTGTATATTAATTGTAAAAATAAACACAATTATTGTCAGTTTCTCAAATTATAATTTTCAAATCATAAACATACAAAAGTATTGAATATTTGGCTTCTTTAATTAAAATTATTTAGAAGAATTTATTTTAAAAATTATATTTGGTAAAAATTAATAAAATAAATTGGATTATTTATGTTAATAGCGTTTCATTGACCAATGGGTAGAGATCAGTTTGGAACAAGCTCAACGACTAATATTGTTTTGTATGTGCCTGACCTATCTTAGAATTAGATATTGATATTAATTTAAAGAATAATAATGTTCAGAGCGAGTTTTTTTAGGTTTTTCTCTATTTTTTTACGAACTAGTTTTGATGAGATACGCACAAAAAACACTGTTTTGGGTCGAAATAATGAGTCTACATTGGACCTATTCGAACCTAAAAAACCTATTTCGGCCTTTTTGAACCTAAAACCTATTTGCAACCTATTTCGGACTTTTTTGAACCTATTCTAGGTTTTTTGAAAAAAATCTTAAAAATCGCCTTTATTTTAGCAAAATTAGCATAAAATCTTAAAAAATAGTTAATGTTAAAGTGGTAAAGTCATATTAACACTAATTCCATGCTCCTTTCTTGCCAAAAGAAGCAAAAAAGCATAAATTGCCAAAGTCAAATCTTGCCAAAAGGCTGAAAAACTATTATCGGTAAAACATGCTTTGAGGCCCAAACTCCGATATAGTCGATATTTATGTCATTCGAAGGATTCAGATCAGTGTTGAACGACACCAAAATAAGCTCGTGGCCTCATCTATGGGCCGATATACAGACTACCGTTCTATTTACAACTGGTCTCGTTCGAAAGAACTTGTCGAACTGAGTCGAATGACACTAAAATCAACGCGATTTGACTTCATAAGACTGAGTTACAGGTCCCCGAAACTCGAAACGCCATAGGGGAAGGTAGACCATCTTTGTGGTGAAAAATACGATTTTTCGA